AGGGCAGGAGTCCTTGACCGCGGCCACCAGGATGGTCGCGTCGGACTCGGCGCGCTCCGCCTCCAGCATGAGGTCGAGGAACTGCAGCGCACGGACCTCCGTGTCTTCGGCGGTCGTCGGCACGCTGCCCTCCTCGCCTGGGGCCTAGGAACTCGTTGAACGCGTCGGAGTGCGCCATGTAGCCGGCGCGCGCCCCAGCGGCCGCCGAGGCCTGCTCCCGCGTGGAGAGGGCCACGGGCGAGGCTGGGCTGCTGCGGCCAGGCTCCAGAGCCTTGGCGAGCCGCGCGTGCAGCTGGGGGGGCAGGGCCGCCGCCGCCGCCGCCGGCCGCGCCCGCGCGGGCGCCTGGGCAAGACTCGCCGAGGGCCTCCGACACGCCGCGGGCCGCTTGGCGGAGGTCCGCCTGGCGGCTAAGGGCGGGGCCCGCACCGGGGGCCCGCCCTTGGCGGGGGGGCCCGCCAGCCGCCGCCTCTTGGGGGCTGGGGGCGCGGAGCTCGGCGGAGCTGCGCGGTCCGTGCTCACCCGCGGCTGCCCTGCCGAGGCGTCGCGCCCAGCCGCGCGCGACGGGCCCAGCATGCGCCGGAGAGAGGCCCTCGAAGGACCTCGAAGCTTCGTCAGCTGGCCGCCATTCCGACGGCATCCACCGGAAGTGCGGCCCGATGTTCGCGGCCAGAGTCAGAGCCGCGAGGCGACGGTTTAGCTGCAACATACAACGCGATGGAGGCCGACCCCTAGCGAACAGCAACAGACCCCGAAATTGTCGAGCAGCAAGGGGCGGCGATGGTGATGGTGTTGGGGGCTCTTGGCCAGACGACGTACTGCCCATAGCATGGCCCTCCCCTCCTTCGGCCCGATCTGTTCGATGTGCCGGCGCGGCCCCTTGCGCCTCGCCCCCCACCCCTCCTTGCGTAGTGGATGGCGAGGGACCTCGGGGGACCCCGCGACTCTAGCCCACCCGTCGATGACGTTGTTCGGGTCGGTGATCTCTGGGAAATCATCGACACATCTTCTTCGGGTGGCCCGCTCTTCAGGTTGGGGGCGCCTGAACTTCCATGATTCATGCGACTTTCCGAGCTCCGAAACTTGCGATCACTCGACCTCCATTTCACGCGCTCCGAAACCAGTGGTGGAGGCGTCAATGGCCGCCACGGTCGACGACCACGGCCTGTCGAGCTGGCCCCCCGGCAGCGCGGGGGCAGCAGAGGCGGCCCACGCCTCGTTGCGGCGGGAGCGCCAGCCGAATGGAATCATATAGCGCGCAGGGCACTGCCACGCCCGCACGGTTGCAAAGAGCGGCTGCCACGCAATGGCCCACAATCACCTCCACCTGCCGACCCGTCACGACGGGGCCGCTCGCGAACAACTGGAGGGCTCCGCGGAGCAGCCATGACATCTGCCCGGCCCGTCGGGTGACTGGGGGATGGCCCCCCACATCAGCCCCCAAGATGGTCGAGTGCGTGCCGGTCTCGGAGACCTCGCGCACGCTGAAGCCCTCCCCCGCGAAACGGGGCACGACGCGATTCCTCATCTCGGTGACCCCGTCCGCCTTCCGCCCCGCGCGTTGACGCTGTCCGAGTAGGGCGGCCCCGCGGGATCCACCGGGCCAGAGCTCAAGGAAGGCAGCGGCCAAGCCACAAGGGCCATCTTGTCGACAGGGGCCGCCGCCCGGCGCAGCATCTCGAGATGGACGCGCTGCGCCAGCCAAAAGTTCCAGCCCCATCCCAGCGGTAGCACCACGAGGCAGAAATGCACCCCGCACCGCCCCGCAACGCCCCGCCCGACGACGTCGCGCGCCAGGCCGAGCTCGAGCGCCACGCTCGGACACCGAGGGCAGGCAGAAGTAGTCGCTCAGCGCCCCGACGCCACAGCACTGGTAGAAACGCGCCTCGATGTCAGCTGGGGCAGCGAACAGCTCCTGACCAGGCTCGAATTCGATGGCACTCATGGCCTCGGCGCCGCGCTTCCCCGACGCGACCCCCAAGAGACGCCAGTCCCTCGGGCGCCGGAGGAAATCCGCATATGCCTTCTTGCCCGCCCTTAAGTCGACGTCGAGGTATGGGCGAGGCGGCGCGCCCCCCACGCGGAAGAACACGACGTCGGGGCTCGCGAGGATGAGCATGTCCAACTTGGCCAGCGCCTTCCGAGCATCGTCGTCGAGCACCTTCGCAAGGTCTACTGGGTCTCCCCCAGAAGGTGGGAGGGACAGCCGAGCAGCGTCATGCGGTTCCACTGTGGTACCATCGCCTCCATAGTCGATGCGAGGTGCCAGATGCTGAGCCGCAGCTTCATGGGGTAGAAGCCGGTCAAAATTATGCCGGGCCTCCCTGGCCGTGCGCAGCAGATGTCGATTCACCGAAGGCTACGCTGGGCTCGCCAGCCCCGTCGCGTCGCGCTCGCAGCCGTAGAGAGCGTTGCGCGCGGCCACCATGTCGTTTGCATCGTCCAGGGCTTGCCGGCGGTGTGTGCTGCGACGCAAAACCGTCCTGGACGACCCAGCATCAACCTTCCTGCCGCCCAGCCGAAGAGTTTGCAGATCGGTGTTGGCGGCATCCACCTACTCAATGACCATGTCAAGATCTGGCGTCAAGACCACATACTCAAACGCCGTCACCCAGCAAAGGGTGATTCGCTCATGAAACAGATCATCTCCATCACAACATAGAAAGGCCGACGAACCTGGCGCCAGCGCAGCCAATTTAGGCTCGGATAAATACTCCACCTCAGCCCTTGCCGCTCCGTAGAAACAAAGCACTACCTCCAGCAACCTGCGCGATCGACGGGCCAGGGGTCTCGACAGGGCTGGTCTCATCTAGCGCCACGGACGGCGCGGTATCTCTCCTCCGCCTCGAGCACCCTGCCGCCCAGCAAGCCCCGGCAGCACCTCCGAGCGCGAGCCCGGCCGCCGCCGCGAGCACGAGGTCCCCTGTCCCCCAGCCTGGCACAAGGCAAATCGGACACGTCGGGCAGACAGGTACGTAGTCGGCAGGACCGCACCGATTGAGCTGCCCCCGGAGCAGCTCGATGAGGCTCGCGTCGACGGAGCCTCCAGAGCAGTGGCAGTGAAGAGGCTGAAGAACCACCCAGCTGCTCAGACAATTGCCAACCGCACTGGTCACGACTCAGTGGAAATAGGCCGTGAGGATTACCCATAAGACACAAAGAGGACATGTGAGCCAAATGATTGCACAGCAAGCAGTCGAAAGAACGCCATTCCAAACCCACCCCTGGCACTCACTACCCTGTACACAAAACCATGACCAGCAACGGTATCCAATGACGACGGCGGCGGCGGGAGACGGCGGGGATGGAGTCGTATTAATTGTGGAGGGCACATGGCGTGCATCGCGGGGTCAAAATCACCTCATGTGTCTGCTCGGAACGCTTCCCGACGCCTGGGCAGCTGAGTCTCTAAGTTGGAGGCCTGGGCAACTGAGTCTCTTTCACGTCCTCTCCGAGGCGCCTCTCGAAGCATCGATCCTCGCTTCCTGCAAGCGCGCCAGGAACCACGAGGCACAGAGGAGGAGAGGGAGGGTGGGAGGGAGGGTGTGGTGCAACATGGAGGGAGGGAAGGGACGGAGGGGAGGGCAGGGAGGTATCTCTCCTCAAGGCAAGCGCGTCCCACTACTCGCGAAGTATCTGCTCGCAAATGGCCTGGGTCCGCCGCGGGGTATCTACGATCCATTACGTCGCGGCACACCTGTGTTCGCTTCCTGACGTGTGCCAGTAGGAATTTTTCGAATAGTTGAACGCGCTCGGTGACCCTCACAATGTTCCATTGCTCCCGCGGCCAAGTGTGGGGTGCATGCGCTTCCCCCCGCGAAGACTCCCCACAGGACGGGTGCGGCCGACACCACCTCCACAGAGAAGTGCTCGAGCAACGCCAGGAAGACGAGCAGGAGCAACCAGTAGAAATTATCCCAGTGCGACCCTACCTAGGAGTTGGAAACCCCAGGAAAGCAGCATTAGTAGTAACAGTAACGCTAAGCTAAAGCTAAGCTAAAGCTAAGCTAAAGCTAAGCTAAAGCTAAGCTAAAGCTAAGCTAAAGCTAAGCTAAAGCTAAGCTAAAGCTAAGCCACATCTAAGCTAACGTTAAGCTACAACTAAGCGAAAGCTAAGCTAAAGCTAAGCTAAAGCTAGACTAGAGCTAAGCTAAACGCTGAGCGAAAAGCTAAGCGAAACGCTAAGCAAAAGCTAAGCTACAGCTAAGCTAAAGCTAAGCTAAAGCTAAAGCTAAAAGCTCCCAGGGGACTGGGGGGAACCGCTCCCAGGGGACTGGGGGAACCGCCCGGGGCGTGTTGCACTGCCCGGCCCCTTTAAGCTAAGAGAGTAAGAACCCTTCTAGGCAGAGCCTAGGTAGGGAAAAACATGGAACCAATCCCAGATAGACGTCGAGGGAGGGTGGGGTGCAACATGCCCAGACCCCCGACATTATCTTTTTTCAAAACATTGACCCCCAGAGGTCTGAACCCAGTCCCCGGGACCGGCTTCTCATCTCGAGTCGTTTTTTGACGGTCCAGAGGCCCAGCGAGGGCCTCCAGAGGTCGAAAATAGCGAAGAACCTTCCGTCATGATTAGAGGCCTCCTGGATGGGATGCGAGTAGACGGGGTCGGAGGATCCCGCCGCATCGGCGATGCATGGGCGATGCATCGACTACGTCGGCGTGGAGAAAATTGGGCCCCACATCGAGCCGCATCGCCGATGCACCGCCGATGCATCGGCGATGCGGCGCGATCCTCCGACCCCATCTGGGAGGCCTAGATGTAGGTGTAGATGTAGATGTGAGTCTCGCTGTTGATGCTGATGTAGATGTAGATGCAGGTGTAGATGTTAATGTAGCTGTCGGTGTAGATGTAGATGTTGCTTTCCTAGATGCTCCGACTCCTAGGTAGGGTCGCGCTGGGATAATTGTTTCATGACTCGAGGCGGTCTGGGTGGAGGGCACCCTGCGGCCCAGCGGCCCCCTGGCCAGGGGCCCGGCTGGGGGGCGGCCCAGCGGCCGCCTGGACAGCACCGCCACCGCCAGGCTGCAGGCCTCCGCCGCCGCGCGCTGCAGGCGGGGCCTCGGGTGGAGCGGCCCGGGGGGGGGAGGGGGCAGGCTGAGACAGGGTAACTCGCCATCGCTCGGACGCCCATTCCCTGTGCATTGATGTTGGCTTCGTGCGAATTTTCCCGCAAAATGACTCAGACTGCTCCTCGATGGTTCCTGCCGAGAAGAAACGCACACGTCGGAGCGATGCCAAGGGAAACGGGCCGCGTGGCTCATGAAGGACCCTTTGCTTCTCCAGCGCAGTACTTCGAAGAGGGGGACATATGCGGACGGTGCCATTGAGACCTTCGCGTGACCACGAAGCGCGTGAGGGGTGTGCCAGATTGGGTGGCGGGGACGCGTGCTGCGGGTGCCACTGGGACCTTCGGTGGAGCTCCCTATGAGCCACGGAACGCATGAGGCGTGTGCCGACATGGTTGTCGAGGACGCGTGCGAACCGTGCCACTAAGATTGCGGTTGCCACGACAATGGACACCCTAAGGGCCCTATCGTTGAATTTAAAAATATGTTCAACATTTCGGAAAAATGTTCTGAACATGTTTGAAATATGTTGTTGCACATGTTTCAACCCTGCTTCACACATGTTTGAGACATCTGGAAATGATTGGCAACATGCTTCCTCTCCATTGATCGTCCTCCACAGCACTAATAAAGGCGCCCCAGGACACAAATAAATACACACAAATAAACAGATTCCCAATATTTTCCCATATTTTCGGGGTGTTTGTCTTCCCCCCCACTTCAAAAGTTGCCCAAATCTCCCTGGGGATCGTCGATGAATTGTGTCTGTGTGTATTTTTCCCCCCTGAACTGAGCCCTTCGCTGCCGCTCCCTGCTGCCAGGAGAGCGCGCGACACCCGACGCACTGCTCTCCGACCCCCGGCCACCGAGAGGCGCGCGGCCTCCCCATGGGCCTGCGGGACCCGATGCCGGAGCCCCTGGACTCGGGCAGCGGCGCGGCTGCATGCGTCGCGGCATCGGTGCGCGGTCGCCAGCCCGACAGCAAGCATCGGCATGGGTGTGTAAGTAGGGGGCCACATGCGAATGCGAACCCCTTCCCCTGCCCCCCACGATTTCTGAGGGGGAGGGCGGGGCTCCCTTCGCTCGGGAGCTCCCGAGCGAAGGGAACCCCACCCTCCCCCTCAGAAGTCGTGGGGGGCAGGGGTAGGGTTCGCATGTGGCCCCCTATGCATGTGTCACGTCATCGGTGCGCGGTGGCCAGCCCAAAAGCAAGCATCGGCATGGGTGTGTAAAAGCTTCTGGGCGGCACCGGAGGCGCCGCCAAGGGGGATCCAGCGCCCGGGCAGAGGAGTCCAGCGCCCAGGCAATAGATGTCTGTACAGCTGCTGATTCCTCGCCGAACAGTTCCTGCACGTTCTCAGCGACCCTCCTCGTGCCCCTCCTCCTCCTCCCCCTCCTTCTAATCCCCTCCTCCTCCTCATCTTCCTCCTCCTCCTCCTCCGTCTCCTCCTCCCCCCTCCTTCCTCCTCTTCCCTCCTTCCTTCCCCCCCCCTCCTTTTCTCTCCTCCTCCTCTTCCTCTTCTTCCTCTTCTTCCTTCTCCCTCCTCCTCCTCATTCTCCCTCCTCCTCCTCCTGCTCCTCCTCCTCCTCCTGCTCCTCCTCGGCCCCCCCCTGGGCCCCAGGACCGTCAGCAGAACGACTCGGGATGAAGAGCTGGCCCCCCGGGGTATAATGCTCCCATCGTTCTTGAGGACCACATCGCACACATGATTTCGGGCACCCGGCAAAGTATCGAAACAGTGTCGAACGAATATCGCCTCCCAGGGCCCGACACGCCGGAAACCCTCGAGGTTCGGCCCTTTCTTGGTGCGCGGAAGTCTCTCTGGCGGTCGAGGCTAAAGTAGGTTGGAGCATCGTAACCCCCGGGAGCAGCCTCAGGCTTTGTGGGCCCCGGAAACGGCAGGGCCGTTTTTCCACCGTTTCCCAAAAAATGTCCCTTGAAAATGGAAACGGCAAAAAAACGGCGACCGGAAACGGCAAAGAAACGGCTCCAGGATTGGAACCGGAACCGGAACCGGTCAAACAACGGCGACGGAACCGGTAAAAAAACGGCGTCGGAATCTGCAAAAAAACGGCAAACCGGAACGGGAAAAAAAACGGCCCTGTCGTCTCCAGGGCCCACTAAGGTCAAGGCTGAAGTAGGTTGGAGCATCGTGACCCCCGGGAGCAGCCTCGGGGTCCAGGACACGCTTCCCCCAGGATCCATCTACTTCGTGCCTAGACTGCGCGGCTGGAGACGCCGCGGTGGCCACCCGCGGCGCCTCCAGCCGCTTCAGAGAGGCGTCCGCCGCTTCGGAGGGGCGTCCGCCACACCGGAAGAGGGCGTCCGCCGCTTCAGAGGGGCCGAGGCCGTCGGGTGTCGCACGTGTCGGCTCTGATCCGTCTGGGAGCAAGCGCCCAGAGCGGCGGAAGATGTTGTCTGGGACAGCTTCTCGCCCGTCGACTGGCTCGCCATGCTGAGGTCGGGCATGTCCTCCTGCAGTCGTATTTCTGAGAAATCAGGAGCAATAAGCAAGAATAGTCAAAAATAGTCTAAACATCGTCCCCAGACAGGGGCATGCCCGACTTAACGCATGCTTACGAATGCCAACAGCAGAATTGCGCAGACACAGCCACACCTTCCCAAGCGGCGCGGAGCTAGCAGCGCCTGTCACAAAGCAGGGAAGTCCGCGTGCCTCCCTCGAATCACGCGGCCATTGCTTTGGACATACTTCTTCTATTTGTTTGAAGGGGCCCAGGGGAACACAAAGAAATAGACACAGATCCCAGGGTTCCTTATAGTTTCCTATATGTTCTGGGTTTTCGTCTTCCACCCACTTCTCATAATTTCCAAGATGCAGATGTGCCTGGGGATCGGCGATTAATTGTCTGTGTGCGTGTTTCTCTCTTGATTGTTTTTCTTTCACGCAGAACACATGGCAGCGCGCGACGCAGCTTTACTGCAATGGCCTGAGAACCGACTCACGCACCGGCCCCAGCCGCCGTGTGTCCCTTGATCTGCCGCATACAATACAGAGCATAATGCTCAACAAAAGCAGCGCCTCTGCAAAAGATGGCCGGTGCCAACCCGCAACCGTGCCGACAGCACGTTGGGGCGTGTAAGAATGCTTGGGTCGAGTTTCTGGAAGGGGTGGCTAATCACGAACGGGTTGGCCAGACCGCACAGCGGGTGTATGTTTCCTGGCCCCTGCTGGCACCACAGGCGGTAGTGTAGAGGCCAGCGCCTGGCGGCAGAGCCAAAGCCAGCCACATGCCAGCAGATTTCGCAGGGTACCCACCTTTCCCTGTGAAACCTTACCGTCCCACTCAATAATAAAGCACCCCCCCTCGGACATGACCCGTTTAGGAAACCTCCGCGCCCAATGCCCGTCTCGGCCCTGAGATGTCCCGATGCCGCCCGAAGGCAGCTGCACGATTCCGAATGGCCCAAGATGGCCCAAATAATCCAAGAATCTCCACGATGCCAAGAGGCCCTACGAGGCCCAAGGAAGCCCCCGAGGGGCATGGCTCGATCTTCAAGACAGTTGTGGGCACCGTAATTGTGAACATCTTCTTCGGTGAAGCTCCTTATGGGGCCACTAAGCGCTGCATTGGGTGGGGGGGACCCCATGCGGGCGGTAGCACTGGGGCCGTCGGTGGAGCTCCCTATGGGGCAGCGAAGCGCTGCACTGGGTGTGTGAAAATTCCAAATTGGGACGCATGCGGGCGGTGGCACTGGGGCCTTCAGTGGAGCTCCCTATGGGGCCACGAAGCGCTCTATACTGGGTGGGTGAAAATGCCAAATTGGGACGCATGCGGGCGGTCCCACTGGGGGCTTCGGTGGAGCTCCCTATGGGGCCACGAAATACTGTACTGGGTGGGTGGCAATGCAACATTGGGTTTCCGGGGCGCATGCGGACGGTGGCACTGGGGCCGTGGGTGGAGCCCCTATGGGGCCACGAAGCGCTGTTTCCTGGGTGGGTGAAAATGTCAACTTGTGCTTTCGGGACGCATGCGGACGGTCCCACTGGGGGCTTCAGTGGAGCTCTTTATGGGACCACGAAACGCTGTACTGGATGGGTGAAAATGCCAGATTATGTTTTCGCGACGCATGCGGACGGTGGCGCTGGGGCCTTCGGTGGAGCTCCCTAAGGGGCGACGCACTGTACTGGGTGGGTGAAAATGCCAAATTGGGTATGCGGGACGCATGCGGACGGTCCCACTGGGGGCTTCGGTGGAACTCCATATTGGGCCACGAAATGTTGTACTGTATGGTTGAAACTGCCAAATTGAACTTCCGGGGCGCATGCGGACGGTGGCACTGGGGCCTTCAGTGGAGCTCCCCATGAGGCCACGAAACGTTGTACTGGGTGAAAATGCCAAATTGGGCATTCGGGACGCATGCGGACGGTGGTACTGGGGCCTTCGGTGGAGCTGCCGGTGGGGCAACGAACCGCTGTACTGGATGGGTGAAAATGCCAAATTGCGGAGCGCATGCGGACGGTAGCACTGGGACCTTCGGTGGGGCTCCCTTTGGGGCCACGAAGCGCTGTATTGGGCGCGCGGGACGCACGAGGACAAAAGCACTGGGACCTTCGGTGGGGCTCCCTATGGGGCCACGAAGCGCTGTACTGGGTGTGCGGGACGCATGCGGGCGGTAGCACTGGGATCTTCGGTGGGGCTCCCTATGGGGTCACGACACGTGTGAGGGGTGTGCTGAAACGGATGATGATGGGATGGTGATGGAGGAGGGAGGTGGTGGAGGATGAGGAGGAGGATGAGGAGGAGGAGAACGCGGGGACCGTCATTTCAAAACGGGGACCCAACACCACAGGACGGTTGGGAACAATCATAGAAACATCGTCCCCAGACTATTCTTTGACTATTCTCGAACATTCCTCCTGTAGAGAGACAGGCCCGACTGAAAGCCGCCCGTGGGGCGCCACATTGGGCAACGCCTCCAATTCGAACGAAGAGGGCTGGCCAACTCACCGATGAGCCAGCGCATCGCTGGCGGCCTCGGGCCCCGCGGAGCTGGACGGGGTGGCGCCTGAGGAACCCTGCCGGAAGGCCGTGGGAACCCCAAAAACGTCCCAGGCAGCACGGGTGCTGACAGCGCTTGTGGGTCCCACGCCTCCCGGCCCGAGACGGCCGCACAGATGCCTCGGGCAGCCCCAAGACGTCCCCGAGGGCCCCGAGAGCCACCCCGAGTGGCCCAAGACGGCCCCTAGAGAGCCCCGAGACGACCCGGGAACCCCTCAGCCGGCCCGAAGCCGCCTGGCCCGAAGACCCGACCTACCGGCCTCAAGGTGGCCATGCCGAGCGACCGAGACGGACCCAAGCTTCCCCCCCCCAGGCCCGGCCCCGAGAGGCCTCCTACCCCTACCGACCACAGAGAGGCCCCCAGGAATCCTTCGAGAACCCCACAAGAGGCCATGCAACAATCATTGCGACATTCAGGCCACGCCACGCTATCAGTAGAGCATCATAGCGCTGCTTCTCAGACGGCCCCAAAGACGGTCCTACCAAGAAGCCACCAACACGAACACGACAACCACGCAACGCTACAACCAAGACACGCTACAATATCGTGGCGCTGCTTCCCAGATGGCCCCAAAATGGTTCTACTGGTGCCCTGCGGAAAACGTTGGTAGAGCCCTCCAGCGCGCGATGCTGCGCGGAGACGGCGGCGGGCGGGCGTTTCTGCAGACAGCAGGCAACCAGACATATAACTTGGGCAACTGGCCTGCTTGCCTACGGCAGTAGGACCAACATATGACATCGAAGACGGAAAACAAATTAACAACAACTAAAGGAATCGGGTCATCTCGGTTCACCTCTGCCCCGGTCCCCGGCGCCCGTACATGCGGATGCTGCTCGCGCAATCCTGCTGAAGTCGGCTGGAACGCCCACATGCAATTTCTGGTACAAACTCGGAACGGCCATTGCCAATGGGCAAACATCCACTGATCCGACACCAAAGTGGAAAGAGTGCCCGTCAGGTTACTAAAGCGACTCCAGTTGTTTCAGGACAAGCACGCCTGCGTCCATACGGAGGCCCTTTAAGATCTTCTTGTAGTCGCCGTTCGCAACCTCCAGGAGTTTCGCGTGATTCTCTTCACTCACGAGAAGATCGGTGACCTCTCTGGTGTCCATTTTGCACGCCGATATGTACAGGACCTTCTCGTCCGTAGCCACCTCTACGAAATAGGGCCAAAACCCCAGAGTCATCTCCCTTGACAACACGTACCGGACTGAGTCAGATGAGCCCATTTTCTTTGAAATGTTGCGGTCCTTCCTGTAGCTGGAGCTAGCCCGCTTTGGAGACGCCTCTGGTGGCTCGAGGACCAGCGCACCCCCTCTCATGCGGAGGCCCGCCATGATCTCCTCGTAGTCGCCGTTCGCAGCCTCCAGGAGTCTCAGGTGGTTCTCCTCGCTCACGACGAGCTCGACCACCTCCTTGGTGTCCAGCTTGCACGCTGTGATGCACAGCACGCTCCCGTCCGTGGCCACGTCCACGAAGTCAGAAGCAGCAAAAAACATCCCAAACTGAAACTTCTGGCGCCCTGCGCGGATTCCTTGGACCTGCGCTGGACCCCTTCCCTGGCGCGCGGAGGGCGCCAGGGGCGGCGGCGCCGCAGGGGCGCCGACGGAGGGCCCCGGGCGCGGATCCAAGAACTCCGCGCGGAGCGCCAGACGTTGATGCTCGTGGCGTTTTTTTCCTTCTTCTTGAAGTACGGCCAGCACCCCAGGCTCATCTCCCTGCTCAGCACGTACCTTGGTGGTCTCCAGACCAGGTGGTGAGACACCCGGTGGTGACCCCGATTCCCCCCAAAAATGATTCTGGGTCACCACCGGGTTTGGGGACACGCGGTCGCCACGAGGTTTTGCGTTTCCTGGGCCAGCCAGCGCTCGAAAACCATTACCCAAATCGCCCAAAACTCACCACTGGGTGTTCTCACCACCACGTTTGGGAACCACCAAGTACCTGAGGCCGGCGCCGACGGGCGCGGGGACGCCGGAGCTCGAGATGCTGGGGAAGGCCGCGCCAGACAGGCGCCCCGCCGCCTCCTGCCGCTGCGTGCTGGAGGGGAAGCGGCGCATCGTGGGGCTCCTGTCGGGTCGGACGGAGGCTTCGGAGGCGACGGTAGCAGCCAAGAGATCCAACGTGTTGACAAACATCAAAGCGGAATTTTCAACCTCTACACCCTGCGAAATGCTTAAGAAATCATGGGTTAAGAAATTCATAGTCTCAGAACTTGAATAAAAACCCAACGTTCCCATTAAACTCTGAAGATTTACATGCAAACGTTAAGAATAATCGAGACTCTGGCCGAAAACTTAAGTTTTCTTAAGCATCGCCTAAGGTGTAGGGGCCCTCACCGGGCCCCAGGACCGTTAAAAAACGACTCAGGGTGAAAAACCGGTCCGAGGGAATGGGTCGACCCTTCCGGGGACCCCGCTTAAAAAAAGCGCGTTCCACCATTCGCACAAGTAACTGCTCGCAGATGGCCAGCATTCGCCGCAGGGGATGCACGATCCACTGCATCGAGGCAAGCATGCGTGTTTTTCGGGCGCTTGCGAGCAGGCGCTTGGCGGGTAGTGGAACGCGCTCGGTGAGATAAGGGCGAATAGCCCAGGTGAGAGCCATACGTGTAGCCAGGGGCGCCGAGATGTTCCATGTCTTCGGCGACCCGCCCCTTGGCTGGTCGCCCCTATCGGCCCTATCGTTAGGTCGGGCATGTCCTCCTGCAGACGAATTTTCGAAGAAACATAACAAATAGCCAACGCACATTGAAAAATGGTAAACAAAAAAACATACTCGAAACTTTGTCCCCACACTACTTCCTGACTATTCTAGAATAGTCCTCCTGTAGAGGGACATGACCGACTAAACCTACCGTCGCCACCAAAGGGTGCGTCAACGAATCCGCTCACGTCAGGTTCGCGTCGTGCCGACTTCGGCGTTGAATTCTGACACCGCGGGGATCGTTCAACCTTGAACGATCGGCCGTTTCCGAAACGTCCAAATCGTCCCACATCGAAAGATTCTGGGTCGCCCGCGGCGTTCAAAATTGGAAGCCGCTGGCGGGGTCGCCGCGGGTCGACACGACACGAACCAATCGGGGATCTTCTGACCTGGGTCAATCTAGACCCGGGTCAATCAGGCCTGCAAAATCCTGAAAGATCCTGCACCCAAGGGACACGCCCGACTTAAAGGTTGGGGTTCGGGAAGATGGGGTCGGAGGAAGGCCGATGCACCGGCGATGCATCGGTGACGCCGGCGTGGAGAAAGTCGGCCTCCGCACCGAATGGCATCCCCGATGCATCGGCGATGCGGCGCCATCCTCCGACCCCATCTGCTCGGCCCCCCTCGGAGAGGCCCGGAGCCTGGTGCTGAAGGGTGAGGGACGGGGAAGGCGCCCCTTGTGTTTGCAAGCGTTAAGTCGGGACTGTCCACCTACAGGCAGATTTTGAAAGAAAAATGAAAAGTAGCTCCCCTTGAAAAGTGGCTCCCCTCCCCAAAAAAAATCGAAAGAGCGCGAACAAGAATTATCATCGGCTGACTATTTTTCTACTCTTCTTGAATATTCCTCCTTACGATAGAGCAAGATCAAAAACGCCATAACCATAAACTTTTGGCGCTCCGCGCGGATATCTTGGGTCTGCGCTGGACCGCCCCTCCCTGGCGCCGGAGGCGCCGCCAGGAGGGCCCAGGCGCCGATCCAAGAAATCTGCGCGGAGCGCCAAAAGTTTATGTTGATGGGCTTGTTTCCTCTTCGGGTTGAGGGGCCTGCCCGACTTCATACAAGCGGCAAACGTTGTTGGCAGGGCTGAACCTAAACGGTGTTTTTTATTAGGTTTCCCTCACTGTTGTCTCGACTCCGCCTTTACCGCAAAACGAGCTCGAAACAACAACGGACCACGAAATCACCAAAAAAACCGTTTAGGCTTATGTCGGGCGTGTCCCCCTACAGGGAGATTTTCGACGAACAATGAAAAATACCAAAAAATACACCCAAAAGGTAACAAAATACTCAAAAATAGTCCCCTGACTACTTTTGGGACTGTTTTTGGGGGCATGTTTTATTTTTCGTCGAAAATCCCCTTGTAAGGGGACAGGCCCTTGGTCGGGCGAAAGCAGGGGATAGCAAAGGGGAGGTTTGAGAATCAGCTCACGTAGCTGATTTTCTCGGCGCCTCCCGGCGCCGGAGGCGGCCATGTATCGAGGAATGGGCCCCTCGGTGGGGCCGAAGCAGCAAATTTCGTGACCCCCCCTTTCCCAATCCCCCCCTTTCGTCCGGCCCGAGTTTAGGTCCAGCCCTGGCTGTTGGCGGCCGCACTCCTCCCGCGGCGGGGCTCCTGGACGTGGCGGGGCTCCTCGACGTGGCGGGCGGGCTCCCCGACCTCCCCGCCGTGGCGGCCACGCCGGCCAGCACCAGCGGGCTCACCCTCTCGGGCCCGCCCTGCGGCGGCTCCGTCTGCCGCGGCAGCAGCGCTGGGGGCCTCTGCAGCTGCCGCGACAGCCTCGCGCCGTCCTGAGGGGAATATTCAAAAATAGTCAAAAAAAATAATATGGGGAGTATTTTTTGACCAGTTCGGAATAATTTTGAATATTTTATATTTTTCGTCGAAGATCCCCCTGCAGGGGGACACGCCCGACTTAAACCTAAGGGGACCTACAACGACATAAACATGAAAACTCGGAGGTCCGCGCGGATCTCTCGGATCCGCGCTGGGCCCCCCTCCCTGGCGCGCGGAGCGCGCCCAGGGACGGCGCCGGAGGCGCCGCCGGGGGGGCCCTGGCGCGGCTCCGAGACATCCGCGCGGACCTCCGAGTTTTCATGTTTATGTCGTTGTTCGCCCCCCATAGGTTTAGGTCGGGCGCGTCCCCCTGCCAGGGGATTTTCGACGAAAAATTCGCTGGCCCAACGGGCCAGAGGCGTGCTGAGATCTCCGCGGTGACTACTTAACAATATTTCTAGTTCGCGCGCGCGGGGCGGCCCCTGGGGGGCCCCGGGCGAAAAGTACCCCGGCCGATCCCCGGCTGGGTCCCGGGCGATCCCCAGGGGGGGGGGGCTATTTCTCGCCACCCCTCGCGAGGATCGTGGCCTCCGAGGGGAGGGGCTGCAATCGACTACCCCCCCTCCCGCCCCAAGGGGCCCCCAAGAGCCCCCCAAGAGGCCCCAAGGGGGCCCAATTCGCCGCCAAGGAGCCCCAAGACGCTCCCAAAAAGCCCCCAAGAAGCCCCCAAGACGGCCCCAAGAGGCCCCAAATAGCGCTCCAGGGCCAGCGGAATGAGCGACGCGATAAAATTAAAAATACACCAATTATCCCGGCAAAACAACCTAACAGCGATGTGTAGAAGCATATCTGAAAGCATTCCTCTTAAGATTCAGATGAAAATCCAGTTGTCGAATTCTGCTGTTCTCGCAGTCGTAGTCGCATTCGCGATGACAGTCGCAGCGGCAACGGCAGTCGCAGTCACAGCCTCAGCCTCAGCCTGCTCCTCCTCCTCCTCCTCCTCCTCCTCCTCCTCCTCTCCTCCTCCTGCTCGTCGTCGTCCTCGTTCTCTCCTCGTCTTGCTCGTCCTCCTCGTCCTGGTGCTCTCTCCTCCTCCTCCTCCTCCTCCTCCTCCTCCTCCTCCTCCTCCTCCTCCTCCTCCTGGTGGTCCTCGTTCTCCTCCTCCTGGTGCTCTCCCCCCCCCTCCTCCTCCTCGTCCTCCTCCTCCTCCTCCTCCTCCTCGTCCTCCTCCTCCTCCTCCTCCTCCTCCTCCTCCTCCTCCTCCTCCTCCTGGTAGTCCTCCCCCTCCCCTCCTCCTCCTCCTCCTCCTCTTCCTGGTCGTCCTCGTTCTCGTCCTCCTCGTCTTGCTCGTCCTCCTCCTCCTGGTGTTCTCTCCTCCTCCTCCTCCTCCTCCTCCTCCTCCTCCTCCTCCTCCTGGTGGTCCTCGTTCTCCTCCTCCTGGTACTCTCCCCCCCCCTCCTCCTCCTCCTCCTCGTCCTCGTCCTCCTCCTCCTCCTCCTCCTCTTCCTCCTCCTCCTCCTCCTCCTCCTCCTCCTCCTGGTACTCCTCCCCCTCCCCTCCTCCTCCTCCTCCTCCTCTCCTGGTCGTCCTCCTCCTCCTGGTCGTCCTCCTCCTCCTGCTCGTCCTCCTCCTCCTCCTGCTCGTCCTTCTTCTCCTGCTCCTCCTGCTCCTCGTCCTGCTCCTGCTCGTCCTCGTCCTCCTGGTTTTGCTCGTCCTCCTCCTCGTCGTGCTCTTGCCCCTGCTGAAAATGTGGCCCAGGAATGGGAGTTCTGGGAAGTCGAAGAGCACGAAGTTGCCTACAGTTGGCTACGGGCATTCAAAATGTGGCCCGGGAATGGAGTTCTGGGAACTCGAAGAGCACGAAGTGGCCTACAGTTGGCTCCGGGCATTCAAAATGTGGCCCGGGAATGGAGTTCTGGGAACTCGAAGAGCACGAAGTGGCCTACAGTTGGCTCCGGGCATCCAAAATGTGGCCCGGGAATGGAGTTCTGAGAACTCGAAGAGCACGAAGTGTGTGACTGTTGCATCCGGTCCTCCAGAATGTGGCCCGGGAATGGCGTTCTGGGATGTCGAAGAGCACGAAGTGTGTGACTGTTGCATCTGGTTATTCTAAATGTGGCCCGGGAACGGCGTTCTGGGATGTCGAAGAGCACGAAGTGTGTGACTGTTGCATCCGGGTATTCAGAATGTGGCCTGGGAATGGAGTTCTGGGAAGTCGAAGAGCACGAAGTGTGTGACTGTTGGTGAAAAACGAGCCCGGCACCCTGCCGCCCGGCAACTCCCCAACACCTGCCCGGACCCCCCTGTGGAGTGATCTGTGAGCTCTTTTGAGACCACTAGAAACCTATCAGTCTTCGCTGTTAGGTAAAATTATCCCGGCAAAGCAACCTAACAGCGATGTGTAGAAGCATATCTGAAAGCATTCCCCTTAAGATTCAGATGAAAATCCAGTTGTAGAATTCTGCTGTTCTCGCAGTCGTAGTCGCATTCGCGATGACAGTCGCAGCGGCAACGGCAGTCGCAGTCACAGCCTCAGCCTCAGCCTGCCTCCTCCTCCTCCTCTTTCTCCTGCTCCTCCTCCTCGTCCTCCTCCTCCTCCTCCTCCTCCTCTTCCTCCTGCTCGTCCTC